TCTCATTCATTCTTTTTTTTGGTGTTAGATTTTCATTTCAATATTAATTCGCATCATTCTTGCGTTTGTCTCATTCTCATCAGCTTGAATGCCGATTGGAACGTACGTTCAGTTTTCGAGAAGACAGGCAGGCCTATGTGCCATCTCATTGCTAACGTTTTAATGATTCATCGCTGACAGTTGTTCATTCTGTTGTGTTCATTTATTGTTTCGTTTAGTCTCGTTTTCCTCACTCGAATCGATCGAAATCTTGTCTGTGCATTGAGTTGAAGCTGTACGGCAAGGATGAGGCGCTGAATTAGTGGTGGAATTTTTGGTAAAGCACTCATTTTTCATTTTGTCTCTTAGTTGCTCTCGCTTTTCTATCGCTTCGTTCTCGTTCATTCTCATACTCCTTTCTCGATTTCATTTTTTCAAGTATTGATGAAATTGTTGGCAAATAAGTCGTTGATATACATTGTAGATCAACTGTCGTTTGTGTGTTCATTACTATTTTATTTTAGGTGCTCACAAATTCGTATCTAATTTTTGTGATTACATTCATGGATGCCCTTCAATATTTTGATCTGGACCACCAGATAAAAGTCAGTGACGGAAATACACAATGAGTTTTCCTCAATTAGTTTCTTGTTTGATTATGGGCAGAAAAATATGATAGTTATCGCACTATTCTGATTGATTTCCATTCGAAAGGCAGAAATTTAGAAGTCGTCAGTGATGGAAATTATGCAGTCAATCAATCAGGTGAATAAATGATAGTGGTCGATTTAAAGATTCCAGCATCTTGCTGAGAATTTCAAGAGGACTTGCTCTGAAGCGAATGGGAGTGTACGGCTGACTGATCGAACAGAACTTCTTTTATATTTACAAGCGAATTGTGAACTAGATCAAAATTTAAAATTCTGTCTCGTTTTGAGTAAGAAATGAATGAATGAGTGAATCACGATTGAATTTCTTCGAAATTGGTTATTTATCAAAAGTTCACCGACATCACAATAGAACAATTGCTGTTTCTATTCGTAGAAATTAACGAGTAACGGGTCAGTGCAACACAAGAGTTTGTTAAAAGTTTAGGAATAGGAAAGAAGACGAATTATAAGATGAGGTGTGTGATGTGTAGTGTTGTTTCGTATGTGGCTGATGCATTGGTATATAAGTGTTGGAGGAATGCGGATTGTAAGGGTTTATTAAAAGTGTGTTACAACAGCAACAGTCAACCTATGCAGAAGGTGCTCTAGCAGAGACTTACTTCACAAGTGATTATTAAATATTATTCGCTTATTATTCATCAACGCACCACTCGTCTTATTCCTTCGCATTTGTAATATCGAAAGTCTAAGCGGTGACTAATTGTTCTCATCGTTTCAATGATGTTGCTTCATTGCTGGTATCATTGGTCGTGCAAAACAGAACAGAATGACCGCCTGTGAGCTCTAAGAGTAGCCTGGAGTTTAGGGTGGCGCTCGAGACCATCGAACTGCTTGCAAGAGATCATATAGTCATTATGCCACTGTATTAATGCTTCGCCTTCCACCTCTACACCTTATCTCATCAGCTTTTCAATTGTTTGCTAATCGTAAGTAGCTAGCTAGGTTGTATTTACTTCTTCAACTTATGATGATTATGGTTTTTGATTTATTGGCTATGAAGCGAAAAAATGAGAAGGTAACAGAAAGGATGAAGTTAGTTGAGTTCAGGTATGATGAGTGAATGTTTGTGAACGTGAATGTTTGAGCTGACTGAAGCTAGACCTTGGAACTGGATGAAAATTTTGCTCAATGATGAATAACTGACCTTGCACAAAGACGTTTCCTTTACGCTAAAGGATGCAGAACTATTCTTTTAACAGAAACGAGTTTCTCATCTCATACTGAGATTTAAAACCATAGTGGTTTGGGAAAGCCGACAGTACCGATTCGTGGGAAGGATTGGGGCAACGAAGGTGATTTTTTATTGAATCCTTGTAATCGATTCCGGTTTGTAGAGACGTTGAGGATAGCTAGATCTCATTGCTTGATACTGCTTCAGTCTGAATTCAGGGAAACTGCGTAGTTCAGTTGGGGACATCGTAAGCAACCTTATAAGTTTTCAAGAGACAATATAATGGTTAGGCAACAAAGCCTTAATCTGATTGAGTAGCCTATAGATTATGACATTAAAACTGGATGCGCACTGTCTTGCAATTTCTTGATGTGCTATCGAAGATGTTCACATAATTCACAATCAATCAGCGGATTTCGATGACTTGAACAAGAAGAAAATATTTATGATTAGTTATTTTACGGTGGTTCGCTTGATGGTTTCGTTGAAAGTGCGCAATGGACTTCTTCTTCGAAACGTCTGAAAATGTGAACAATTTCGTTGAAGTAATAAAAATAAATGGAAGAATAATGGCATTTTGTTACACTCAAATAATCATAAGTAAACGCACATTAGATTGGAGGATATACGACGCAGTCAAATAATGTGTAGGGATGGATGATGATGCATAGACGACGTTTCATATAGACGGCACACAACGGCTGTTCCATA